TAGATTTTTGATTCCCAAAAATGTAATGTACGCACAAGGCCGGGATGACTTAGAGAGTCATGCAATTCTTTTAGTGACTTCCCTTCCGAATAAACGGGGAAAGCATCGGCTGCGATATCCTGTGGGTCTGGGCAATAAACTACATCGTATCTGTAACAGGATGACTCAATCATCCATCGTTGGACTTAATCACTTTCACTATCCCATGATATGTCGCATCAAGCATGAAGGCCACGGTCTTTGGATCGGTAATGAGTTTAAAATGTGAACTAAGAAGGAAATACCTCCAAGTGATTTCTGCGATTAAACTGGATTCTTTCTCAACAGAAGAATGGTGTTTTTCATAACTCGAGAATTCAAGAAAAAGCGCCATAGGTCGGCAATTTTGTAAACGAGTAGCAGGGATGATGTCTGGAATAATACGAAAACAGTTCCTGGACGCGTCGTTGAAATTTGGTGTCTTTTGGCGCGGGTAATCCCCGAAAAGAGATTGAATACAACCTCATCAATTCTGGGTAGGGGATAAGCATCTAAAAAACGTATAGTGATTGATAATTAATTGCCAAAAGGTGTTTGTCTTTCGTTCATATTCACCAACACCTAGATTCACCAGGGACTGTTGAAGGTTCGATGATGCCATCCTTCTGTAGTCTTTTAAATTTTGATTGGATAAACTGTTCGTGGTCGTGTGTCTGAAGACGTAATTTTGTTGTGATCAGTTTGCAATCCGACAATGAATTTTCGAGTAGAGATGGAGGTTCGGTTTGTGCAACTGCCATGCCAAAAATCATTTGAGCCAGATTGAAGCATTCTCTCGAATCAGCATTCATTTGTGAATTGAAAATTCTGCCTCACCACTCCGTTTAGCTTCATGGTGCAGAGAACGCAGAGATAACATCAATGGTAGAATGTCTAAGATTACAATATACATTTCCAAAAGACATTTCACGCAGTCAAACGCGAGTTGGTCAGGATCAAACTGATTGCGTAATACGTTCCCCTTAGAACTGTTGACTAGTTATCAGAGTCTCCTGGTCCTCCCGGTTGGGGGCTCGACCTGGGTTGACGTTTCGGTCGGTAGCGTGATGGAGCAGTAATCAATCCATGTAGACGAGTCTTCATTTAGCTTTGTCCGCTGCCTCGCAGTCCAGTTTTCGTCATAACTAAGGGCTTTTTGGAAACCCTGATCGTTCCTCTGTCTAGTTATTGAAATCCATAGCGATATCCGTCGACAAAGATCCAATGAAACAAAAGATTATCCTGTGCTACATTGGTCGTCGAGCACGATAATCAAAATCACTCTGCCCGTTGCATCGATCGGGGTGAGTCGTGATAAATGGGCTACCGCTCAGGCATCTCCACCTTTTTTCGATGCAGCAATCGGCGAAGTTCGCTTCATCGTCAATTGCTGCATGATAATGATAATGACGACGATAATGATGTATCGATGCAGTTTTTGTTTTCAGCCTTTTTTGAACATTTCCCATACAACTCTATTTGACTCATGAATTAAAGAAATCCGCGCTCACTAACCCCAAAGAAGCCAACCATGACACCTAAAATGTTGCGTATATGGTGCAACCTTGTATTGTTATTTGGGATTCCGAATTTTGTCTTCTTATGGTAAGTGTTTAAAATGTGTTATGAGTTATGTGATTAGTTTTGCATCCAAAGATTCCCATTCTTGGTAAGTTTGAAATCCTTGTTGAACTAGTTCCAGGTCTGGCCATATCCTTTCATCGGTTAACGAGATTTCAGATATTAGTGATGACCAGCACTCATTCTCCAGGTGATTGATTTCATAATACCCTTTCGAGCCTTGCAGTTATACAGATATACGTTCATTGGAATCCACATTAAAAGAAATTCACAAGAAATGCCCCAATGTGACAAAAGTTTACTCAATTGGGAATTCAGTTTTAGGGAACCCGTTATGGGTCCTCTCACTGGGCGATAGGCCAAATGAACATGAGCCTGGTGAACCAGAAGTCAAACTAATTGCCAATATTCATGGTAATGAACCTGTCGGGAAAGAACTGCTCCTTGGACTTGCTGCGTTTCTATGTCGAGCTTATGGAAAGGACGAGTTTATTACACTGCTTCTGGATAATACACAAATTCATCTTCTACCATCCATGAACCCCGACGGTTTCGAAATATCTGCTGAAGGTAGGTTTTGTCATTGTCGGTTTTGATAATAAATTTCCAGAGGTTTTGTCAAAGTTTAAAGAACAGCGTTTCCAAGTTTCGTGAAACTGAAACTGAAAACCTTTTATGACAGAAGTGAATACAGTAAAAGAGATTAACCCTGTGATTCACGGGCATGCTGTACACTGGTGGGTAGAAGGATGATTCAAGCTCGAACCAGCTTGTGGATTCTACGATTAAAAATACGGATTTTTCTAATTGGAAGAAAGACCGAAAGAAGTATAGTGTTCCACAGTTGTGTTGTTCCTGTGACAAAGGTGACTGGCAGTTAGAAGCGCGGCATCTTGAAGTGGATGAATAGCCGCTGGTATACGAGACCCACGATTACGAACAAGAAGGAGTGGGTCGGAAGCATCACGTTCGATAGAGCAAAAAGCAAAATAGTGTTGGTAGAATACGTATGAGGAAGCGACAGTTCGATGGTAAGCTAGTGACTGAAGGTTACATGTTA